CACACACACTCCTACACGCATGCACACCCCTACACGCACATGCACACACACCCCTACATGCACAAGCACACACACCCCTACAAGTACACACACTTCTACATGCACACGCACACACACCCTTACATGCACAAGCACACACACCCCTACATGCACAAGCACACACACCCCTACATGCACAAACACACACACCCCTACATGCACAAGCACACACACCCCTACATGCACAAGCACACGCACCCCTACAAGCACAAGCACACACACCCCTACAAGCACACACACACACCCCTACACGCACAAGCACACACACCCCTACACGCACAAGCACACACACCCCTACACGCACAAGCACACACACACACCCCTACAAGCACACACACACACCCCTACACGCACACGCACACGCACCCCTACACGCACAAGCATACACACCCCTACATGCACACACACTTCTACATGCACATGCACACACACCCCTACACGCACACGCACACACACCCCTACATGCACACGCACACACACCCCTACACGCACACACACCCCTACACGCACGTGCACACACCCCTACACGCACACACACCCCTACACGTACAACACACCCCTACACGCACACGCACCCCTACACGCACAAGCACACACACACACACCCCTACACGCACATGCACACACACACACCCCTACACGCACATGCACACACACACACCCCTACACGCACATGCACACACACACACCCCTACACGCACATGCACACACACCCCTACATGCACACGCACACACACCCCTATACGCAAACACACACACGCCCCTACACGCACACGCACTCCTACAGCACACACACACACACTCCTACAGCACACACACACACACACACACACACACACACACACACACACACACACACACACACACACACACACACACACACACACACACACACACACACACCTACCTGCACACACACACACACACCTACCTGCACACACACACACACCTATATACATATATATGTATATACGCATATGTAAGTATATACACATATGTATATATATATATATATATATATATATATATATATATATATATATATGTATATATATATATATATATATATATATATATATATATATATATATATATATATATATATATATGTAAACATACGTATACATGTATATACGTATATGTATGTTTATGTATATATGTATATGTATGTATATATGTTTATATATTTGTTCATATGTAAATAAAATATAAAAATTTATATATATATATATATATATATATATATATATATATATATATATATATATATATATATATCTACATGGTACATTAATGTCATTATTGTTCCTTATCATTTTTAATAGTGCCTAGTTATTATTTCAAACTGAAACTCGTCTTCAGTCTTATTTTCAAAACGAAGGAATTATTGAGTACCATAGAGATATATATAAATTGAGGCTGTCATTTGGAATAACAAAAAATGCGACACTTACGGGTAATTTTTTTCTCTCAAATCTCAAATCTTATATCAAGACCAAGTGAAATGAAACATGCGTCATCTAAGAAACCACTCTATCACATGTTACATAAGATATCTTTCTGAAGAAATAATGTAAGAGCATTCTTGCTGGAATAAAGAATAAAGTATTGCCTTCTCCTCCACCAAGGCTAGATGCAACTAGTGTTTGCATCATGAGCGTGTGTTTTTTTTTTGTTAATTCATTTTTTTATTCTTATTATTTGTTTTTTATCATTGATTTGACTGTTGCATATATGAATCATCATCAAGCTGCCACATTTTAGTAACAATGAGCCAAACATCGTGTAAGTCAACAAAGTACATTATTTGTGTCATGCAGTCCTAAGTAAAATAAAGATAAAGAAGTGTACTCTTTCCTCAGTCACTGCAGGCCATGTCCCTGCCTTGCATGGACACGGTAGAACTACACACAACAAATCACAAGCTGTTTATTTTCAGATATTGCTTAGCATTAACATAAATGCCAAGGATCTTTTCTATGAGTTGTTCATCTTTTATTGATGATTTACTTAGCCACAGTGTCTGTTATTAGCCATACAAAAACAGCAGTTATTATTATAATAATAATAATAATTATTATTATTATATTATTATTATTATCTTTTATTTATTTATTTTTTTCTACAAGATATCAGTTCTGATAACTTCCATAGACCAAATAAAATACAACAATGCAAAAGGGCCTGCTTCTATATTTTCATTTATATGAGAAATTATGTCAAAGGGCTAAAAAGTTAAGTTAAACTTTGAGTAGAAAAAAAAAAATGTAAATGTACTTTTCTTTTTTTCCATTCTTTTCTTTTCTTTCTTGCTTTTTCTTTTAATCTACTTTTTCCATCATTCTGAAAGCCTCTGTTATACTTAGTGTCTTTACTCGTACTTCGAACTCATAAATTTATATTGTTAAAACTATCTTGCAAAAAAAGATAGCGTTCATTTGCTTTCTCATCTCCCATCAAGATCTCGTAACGCACAATGGTCTGGAGACGAAGGCGACAAGCAGTGTCCAACGAGAGAAGAGAGTCAGCAAGGGAGTGCATGGCTGGGAAGTCCTTCTTTAGCCACTGGACTCCACCAATGGACCGGCCGCTGAACCAACCTCCTGATCGCCCTCTCCATCTGGGCGTTGCTAGGCAGAGGGATGTACTGTTAAGGGGCAGAGAAGCCATACAGCAGATTCAGCCAATATCCTCGTTTGCACCCATAGCTGGTGAGTGATTTTCTCTCTCTCTCTCTCTCTCTCTCTCTCTCTCTCTCTCTCTCTCTCTCTCTCTTTCTTTCTTTCCTCCCTCTATGTTTTATGGGCTCTTGTTTTCATTTTCCTTCTTTGCTGTTTGGAGAATGAAGGCATTGCCAGATGATTGATGTATATCTTTATAAGTGTGAAATTCTTTTGTTCCTATTAACTCATTGGATCTGGGTATTTCACTGCCCACACATGACCCAAAATCTGGGCATTAGTAGTGTTGCTTGTTAGCTGGGCACTCATGAACACTCGTCACTCATGAACACTCGTGTATGGTGACAAGACTCCATGCCTCCCCTTTGCAGTGTTATTTTCTCTTTTCTGTTTTAGCTTTTTTTGCCATGTTCCAATGTCAATATTTGTCTCTCTAGGCAATAATGATAACAATAAGAAATATTTTGTTATTTTTGTAATTTAAAATTTTATTCGCAATATTTTTGGTAATACAACCTGATTATGGAAATAGCATCCTCCCTGTAGCTGGTGCTCTTCCAGTCATAGTTCACAGATGATACATTCCACACTCATTTACCAATGGTAATAATGCAAAAGCCCTTTCCTAAATGCCCACTGAGTCTAATTACCCACCAAGAGATTTGTGGACTTGCAGCAAGTCATTCCTATCACCTTGTCCTTCAGCCAAAATTCTCATGACAGCAAGTTCCTGTCACCCAGGCCCTCTTCCCATCACTGCATATTCCTGTCATCCGCCCCTCAAGCTAAATCTTTTCTTGACGTGATGGTCATGTCATTTGGATCATAGGGGTTAATAGCTCTTCTGTAAGATAAGTTACAACTTGGAAAATCATTTGCTGTGATAATTGAATAATGCTGTAGGAGTCTATGTTCTATTACTAGAATATTTTCTAGATTGATTCATGCTGAATCATAGCAGTTACATTTTTTTTCTTTGCTGTTTTTGTAGGTAGTGAATCTAGTTTGTGTTAACCCATTGCCGCCGGGGATGGCATGTACGTACATGCCATGCCCACTGTGAGTCGACTTGTTCGATTGTTTTTACACATTGATGGCTACACTTGTACTAAGTATCCAATGAGCCAATTACGAGTACTGCCTGTCTCACCTGTTCACCCTTTTCATCGATTTACGAAAATATTTAACGTTATCCAAATTTGCTGTTAAAAATAACACCATCTATATTTATTGCACTAGTAAAAAATACGTTTCTTCCCGACAATTCAAGGAAAGGTGAAATCAGGACTAGCAGAGCCATCTATGGGCAGAGATATTTCACAAAAATATAAAAAATGAGTACTGAATTTCCCCCATTTTTTGTTCATTTTCCCCAGCGGCAATGGGTTAATTGTATTAAGCTTATATAAAAGATCTAATATGTCAAAATCTATACCTTATTTTCACTGAAGTCAGTTCAACTTGCCAACGGTAGAGTGTTTTCCTCATTCACCTTAATCTACATTCATTGGGGACCGACCCTCTCCTCTTTTAGCTGAATGGTGTGTCCCAAGTTCTCTTTTATTAGTGATTTCAGGATATGCAATGGGTTGAAAACCCTACCATGATCCTAGGTTAGTAATGGCTCTGCCAGGTTTAGCATCAACCCCTTGGATCTGGGTGCTTTGCTGGCCGCAAGTGGCCCAAAATCTGGGCATTAGGCTTACTTGAGGGGCTACTCTGAAGGGTATGTGACTTGTAGGCTAGGGGCACACAAACACTTGTGTGTGGTGGCAAGACTACATGCTTCTCCTTTGCAATGTTATTTACTCAATCTGCGTAAGCATTTTCAGCTTTTTATTTTTCCTATTTTCCAATATCTGTCTTTCTCATTTGATATGCTGTGTCCAGATGGTAATAGACTCTTTTTCTTTCATGGACTCCATATCATCTCCTCTGGTAGTCTATGTTAAAACTGTCATTGGGTTGATAGAAACATGGCATTCTTGACACTAGTTTATTGTTTTTCTGGAAAAAAAAGACAAATATCATGTGGTTCCTTAGAGCCATATATAAACATCAACACCTTAGAAAATATTGAACAGTATTACTAACTAAAGAGTCCATAACTCTACAATCATTATTATTATAACAGTAGTAACATTATATGTGTGTAATTACTATTTTTTTTATTTATTGACTTTTTAAATAATTTTCTGTAATACAAACTCTGCTGCTGGTCATGGCAGGCAGGAATAGGATCCTGAGCATGGAAATAGCATCCTCACTGGAGCCAGCACTCTACCAGTCATGGTTCACAGATGGTACCATCTACTCTCGTTTATTGATGGAAATAATGCAAGAGCCCCTTCCTAAATGCTTACTGAATCTAATCACCCTCTAGGAGTCTTGTGCACTTGTGAGGAGTCATTCCTGTCACTCTGACCCTAAAGATGAATTTCTCATGATGGTAAGTTCCTGTGACACCCAACCCTCTGCCAATTTTCTCCATGGCAGCATGTTCACATCACCAGCCCCTCCAGTCAACATTCTTCATGACTCGATGGTCACGTCTTCTGAACTATTGGGGTTTATATGCCAGTCCATCATATTTGCCAGAATTATTAATTCCCTTACAAGGAAAGTATCATATGATTTCTGTTTTTAGCAGTTTTCAATCACCCAAAGTAATTTCAATAAATCTTCAATCTTGGATGAATCAGATTCACCTGATGCAATGGAGCTGCCAGATTTTCAAGAGTTGTCAGATGCATCTGCCACACAAATGGTGAAATTACTTCGGCAAAACTTCAAGATTAAGCAGGCTATGGACCTTCTCTCTTTTGTGTGGAAGAAGATTATTACTGCTGCTATCAGGCATGGATGGACACTGCTCCTCCCAGTTTTGAAACTTCAGCAAAATCAGCAATCAGCAGAGTTACTGATGCAAGAAACCAGAGTAAGGGCAGCAATATGTGAGGCAGACATCCCAGTATTCATTGACCAGGATAAGAAGCAAATCGTGGAAGTGATGGGGGAAGAAAAGGACATCAACCGAGGAGATGCAGAGACTGAAGGTCCCCCCTCCAAAGAACCTTCAACTAATGTATTAGCACTGTTGGCAGACTGCAATGAAAGGTTGGAGAACAGTGTATTTGATGCACAAGAAGCCCTTTTACATCTACAAAAAGTTAAAACAATTGTTGGTGAAAAGTATCATACCAAAATCCAAAATTCCCAACAGTCACTCACATCTTCTGTACTAAGGAGGCAGAGTGACGGATGTGAGACAGCGAGGCGAGCAATCAACCATACTGACCCAGAAGTTGGTGACATGACTGTGGAACTTCTTCCCAGGGAAGAACTGGATTTTGAAGGCTTTGATAAGACAGTGAAAGAAGCCTTAAGAACGAGGAAAGAAGCTAAGGACCATGGTAATGATGATGAAGGTAAAGATAGATTTAGGGTTAATGATTGTTTTGTATTTATGATGGAGTAACTAACTAGTAATCCTGTCTCTCTATTTCAAGATTCATTGAGGTGCCTCAGTAAATTTCACTGGAGGAACTTATTATTGATTTTTTTTCCACAAAAGGATGTATAAGTGTATCTGTAAGTTATGTAATTAGCTCTGTGATTGCATTAGGGAAAGATCAAAATAGGATAGGTCTTGAGTTTTTCCCCATACTACTTTTTTTTTTAATATTTAAGTTTTCTGTAATTTTCTTACAATGGTCAAATGTTCTGTTATGAAATGATATATACTGGCCAAGTTGTGGTAATTTTCAAGCATTACTCAGTGGAACTAATCACATTTGCTCTGAAATCTTCAAAGCCCCAAAACATTGAATCCCTTTCTGTAAGTGTTTGGTAGATTGCCTTGGAGGTGGCATTTATGTCATGCCATGCAGAGAATTGCCGTCTCACTGGTAACAAGTACATCATGCATTAATATAGGTGTTTCACTGCTGTACATGGCTCGAAATCTGGGCATTAGGCTTGAGTTATGGTGTGTGACTTGTAGGTCCAGCCCACACAAACACTCGTATGTTGTGTCAAGACTTTATTTACCTCCCCTTTACATTGTTATCATGTCTTATTCTGCATGAACTTTTTTTTTTTTTTCATATATACATTTGGCCGTATCAATATTATTTATCCTTATGTGTTATTAGTATACAAATAAAAAATTACAATTTGCAGAGTTTCTTTAATATTTATTCTTCCTTCTATCTGTACCTCCTCTACCCATGATATTTTTCCCAGCTCCTGAATTAACATATGGTACATTTTAAAAATCGTGGTCAAAATATGCAGCAGAATGCTACAGCCAGTTCCTCTAGCCTTGTTTGAATATTGTCATTTTATTGGTCAATCACACTATTCTGAGAGATTAGGGTAATGGCATAGCAAATCAAAAGTCTCTTTCATTTTATCACTTGGTTGACTCTGCCAATATGATTAGTATAATTTGCAGTAATTGTTTTTCCAAATATTTTATTTTGTCTATTCATATATTTTTTTATATTCTAGGTACTCATATTTCAGTTTGAAGATGTGTTGGCTTGGGAATTTAATTTCTTTAACTATTTTAATTCAGGAGCTGATAGTTACAGACAGGTGGGGATGATACTGACAATGCCCATGATAAGTAACTGGGATGTGTGATGTTTGATTTTGACTGTTAGGATAGATAGACTACATTTTGATTTTTTTTTTCCCTCCATAATGCCAGTTTTGATCTTTGACCTGATTTTGATTTTGATTTTAATCTGTGGTCTAAAGTTTAGAAAATGGAGCCTAGAGGTGTGACACTGTTACAGTGTGAGACCAGATATCATGTTGAATTTATTGATGTTTTTAATTTCACAGAAAGTTTCCAGTTTGACTGACATGTAATATCTCTGTCAAACCATTTAGGTTTGGGTGCAGCAAGAGCAGTTGAGGTACCTGCTGCCTGTGACCAAGAGAATGTACTTAACAATAGTACAGTAATTGAGATTCTGGTGCACCTTTTGTGTCGGGAACGTGAGGCCGATCCTACGAGGAGGGAATTTCTCTTTAAAGGTTGGTTTTTGTTTAATTATTTTATGTGTAGAAGCATCAGTCATATATTTATTTTCTGTATTTTGACTTCAGATTTACATAAATAGCATATCAAGTTCTACTATTGCTGTGATATTGCATGGCAAGTGTTTTTTTTATGACCATGTCCTTTGAATTCTTAGAAATCAAGGTAAATTCCCCATTTATATGTACGGCCATCCACTTTGAAGTTTACCACTCAATGATGCCAATAAGTGGGCTGTCAATTTCACTTATAATATCTGAAATGTTTACCAAAACAAAGGGCTTGTGTTTTTCAGGTATATGTTAAAACTAACGTTTAACCCATTTGCGCCGGGCGTCACGTATATGTGACGGGCCCACTGTGAGTTTACTTGTTTGATTGTTTACAAACATAGATGGCTCCACTTGCACTTGTACTGCCTGTCTCGTCTGTTTACCCTTTTCTTTAATTTACGAAATTATATTGCGTTATCTTATTTTGCTGTTACTAATGTTTATAACATTATAGTAATTATGATGTTTATAATAAAAATAACCATCGATATTCATAGCACTCGTAAAAATACATTTTCCTGCCAAATGAAATCCGGTAAAGCAGAGCCATCTAGTGTAGAGAAATTTCATTAAAAAATATAAAGAATGAGCACAGCATTTCCCCCATTTTTTGTTCATTTTTACCCGGCGTGAATGGGTTAACACATTAAAAATGTTGAGTGATGATCTTTTGTTAAAAATTGAGAGAACTGTACCACTAGATTCTTATTCCAAATGACTAACTGACTAACCAATTGACTAACCATTTTTTATAAGATATAGTAAATAGTATGATATATTATATGTGGGATACTAATAATTATGTTTTTCCTTTATTGATGTACTCCAAATGGGATAGCTATTAGCAAAGTAATTGAGCAGTGCAATTCGACACTCTACCTGCCGTTGCACTCTGTCCCACTGCTGCAGGATTTCCGATCTAGTCTTCTTGGGAAATTTGAGGTCCTCTTTGAACAAGCTCAGACCCAAATTATTTCACAGGGCAGCCACCTTCCCTTTCCAAGGTAAGTAGAAAGAAAGTTCAGGATCTTTTTCATTTTCCAATATGGCCTCATGAAATGGTGACAATATCATTAAGTATCCGCTGTGACACTCACATTCCCCCCTCCTCTCACCCTCCCACCAGTCCTCTGACCCAGCTTGCTCTGACGAGCCAAACCCACCGGCTCCTGGACAACAGATACAGTCGAGAGTTTGAGGAGCTTTCTGTTCTGGGCAAGGGAGGCTTTGGACTTGTCACCAAGGTCAGACATAAGCTGGATGGATGTCACTATGCTGTCAAGATTATTTCGATGAGGTTTGTTCTGTGCACTGTGTATTTGCTGCTCTCACAATTTTTATTCAGATAAAGACGGCCTTGATAAGTTGGCCACGATAGATTTAAGGCTTGGCTATGATTATAGGATATTGATGATGGCTATTTGCAATTCATTTATTTCATTTGGAGATTCTGTTAAGCCATTTTTATACTTTTATAAAGATTTTTTCTTATTATCGTTGCTTCCTTTATTTTTCTTGTTAGTGTCATTATTTTTGTTATTTGTTATTTTTGATATTAATGTTAATTCTTTATTATTGTTATTGTTATTATTATTATATTCTAGAATTATGTTTTCATCATTATACTCTATTTTTTATTAATTTTATCATGATAGTGAATTTTTTAACATTGTTTTTATCATCACATTCAAAATCTTTATCATTTTAATTTCTGCTGTTTCAGAAAGAATGACCTGAAAACACTCAACACCTTACTTAGAGAAGTGCAGTCCCTGGCCCAGCTGGACCACCCCAAAATTGTCCGGTACCACAGCACCTGGATCCAGATGTACCATCGCCCTGGCTCCAAGAAACTCCGAAAGTCGAGGGAAATCTCCAAGGAGGAAAGTTCTTACTCCACCTCAGTCTCAGCATCCAGAGCATCCTTTGTGCCAAAGTCTGCTGTTATGATCAAAGAACTATCAAGGTGTGAGCTCTTCATTGTAGTATCCCCCCCCCTCTCTCTCTCTCTCTCTCTCTCTCTCTCTCTCTCTCTCTCTCTCTCTCTCTCTCTCTCTCTCTCTCTCTCTCTCTCTCTCTCTCTCTCTCCTCTCTCTCTCTCTCTCTCTCTCTCTCTCTCTCTCTCTCTCTCTCTCTCTCTCTCTCTCTCTCTCTCTCTCTCTCTCTCTCTCTCTCTC